AAAAAAAAAAATCTATGATCTGCTGTAACCTGTCATCGTGTTTTTTTGTGAAAGTTAGGAGTTGCCCAATAAGCGGTGTAGCAAGTGCTTAACACGCATGGTGACCACTGGCCGATGCAGGGTCTGGCGGCTTGCGATCAACATCCATTCCTCATTCGGACAGTCAGGATTTTGACGTGCACCAGTCAAGGAGAAATATTAGTTTACCAACTCGGACGAATCACAAACGGTTAATATTTAGGAGGTATGTCCTGTTTCATAAAAGTTTTATAAGAGGTCTATCAGAGAAGTTTTTGAAGACGCTATAATCAAGAATATTAATTTAACATGTTGATTGATAAACGAGTGCAGAATCTTAAGATTGATGGTAGTCATGTAAACATAAAAACGACGTATCTCGAGGCGACCCGCTTGTGATAAGCGGGATATACGTAGTTTTCATGTTTACATGACTACCATCAATCTTAAGAATTAAGATTCTGCACTTGTTTATCTTGGGGGGTGTGAATAGTTACTATCATTACTGACTTGTTGATTTCATGTAAAATGTCAGCTAACACTCATCATAACTTAATTTAAAATTACGAACTATTTGCACAAATTTTGCATGTTTTCTTGACAGTTAACTTGTAAATCGATATCGTTATTTAAAATATTAAAAGGGCAATATTCTCTGATTTACCAGGGCGAAAGTTAGAGAGTTTATCGTAGGGGTTATTTGAGATTTGTTGTCAAGTGTTGCGTAATTACAACTTCAATAAACTTCAGTGATAATAATTAAACTCGAGAAAAATGTATCAAACTCAGATAAACTCAAAAAAAAGTCGTCCGACTAAAAAACTATTATTAGAAAAATTTGCATGATTAGATATTATCATTTTTAAAAAAGCATCACATACTCTTATCTACGCTCGCTTAAAAAAGCTTCCTCATTCCTTTAAAATTTCTTTAAGATCGTGAAACGAGCTGCAATTTCACAATAATACGCCCTATCGTGTGTTCTCGATGCTCAATAAATAGAACACCTGCGCTGAAGTCTACGGTGAAAATGTAGAGAAGTATTGGAATAGGACCTAAGAACTTGTCAAAGTATGGCCTTCTCGTATTACTACCAGGTCATTGTCAAATTGGAAACGGAGAACATTAAAGTGGACTGATTAAAATCACACTTATAAGTTATAATAGCCTATGTGCGGTAATTAAAGATTTTCTGACTTTGGTAAAGTGCAATTCTGGTGAGACGCGATATTCGAATAAAATGGTTTTAATATTACCATCATTTGTCTCGCTCGGCTGCTTTTTGGTTAAAATTTAATTTTAAAATACATTATTATTAAATGTAGCTGTGTAAATGCTGATTTCAGACGGTCGGAACCCTCCTATAATCACAAACTCATAATTAAAAAGTGACAGGTAATATAAAGTCAAATCTCAAGAAATAACCTGTAAACGTTGTAACTATCATACATCTTATTTCTTTATTTTCAGTGATCACGTCTGAACATTTCGACACCCCTAAATTCTAGCCTAATATAATACAAATTTGCAACATCTCATTTATTGTCCTTCATTCTAAATGTTCTGGAAAATATGAGTGATACAACAGGTCGTAAGTACCAATAACGTTCATGGATCAACCCTTCACTCTTCACCAATAGATACCAGATAGAGATACTGCTGAGAAAGAAGATATTCTTTTCAGAGGTTCGCTGAATAAGCATTAGGTAAGAAAGGCACGTGCACTGAGCCGTGTAGCAACTGTCCATATCTATTATCTGTATATCGGAAGTACACTGCTAAGGTACATTGTACACTGCACTGTACATTGTACACTACTCACAGTTCGCACTGGGACTCCACCCACTACAAACTCTGGGTGAACTTGAAGTACCGATTATTTCACACCAACTGCACCGTATTGCACCGTATTGCACAACAGCGTACTGCATCACACAATAGTTCAGCGTATTGCACATTATTCCACAATTTTGCACTATAATACACTGCATTGCACCTCAGTAGAATACAATTAAACAGCTCGTGAGTCGTGGTGCCGGTGTATTAAAGTATCGACATTAAAGGTGTTTGTTAGGTTTATTGTCCTTAGATGTATTCAATGGGTTATTCAATACTGATATTATGATGGTTATCATTTAACCATATATATATTTCTGTGAATTCGATGACAGTGATATTTGATATCATAATTCATGTAACCATAATATAAGGACACGTTTTTTTTTAAGTGTGGTGAAAATGACTTTGAGTGCCATGACACTTTTGACAATGAAAGTAAAATGACTAGTAACTAGAAAGTGTTGCACAGAAATGCCTTCAATCTTAACTGCCCCTGTAAGGAAAATCCATTAGTTAGTTAATATGTCATAATATAGTACCAAGGTAGTGCCAGTTTTCAGCATTTTGGACTATAATGTTTAAAACGCCCGTAAAAAACTGAATTTTGCGACTTTTCTGTTCAAAATTCAGATTATGTCTCAGAATTATTCAAAGAATATTTGGATTGGGGTAGGAATACTTGAACTGTGCTCAAAATAAGCAAAAAGTCATTTGTTTGGTAAAATTTTTAGTTTGGTTGAAGGGGTTGTACAAGGCCCATACTTTCGATCAGCTTGTGAATGAACTGTAACAACTTTCAAGAAACGTTGGTCTGTAATAATGTAACCTAGGAAAAACCTATTGTGTGCCTGTATTCAGTAAAAATTCACTCACAAAATTACAATTGAGTTTTTTTTACATTGCAGTAGCTAGACAGCAACAAATTAGAACGTTTTTCAATCATACTGTCGAGATTAAGTCTGCTCAACAGCATTCTGTTCGAAAATCAACTTAAGAGTGTGTCAGTTTTCAGTAAAAAGTCATTTTTAGGTCAAATTCATCACGATTAAAAATTCGAAAGAAATGACTCTTTGCTGAATATTGGCACTATACAATTGATGTCTGACAGCATAAGCAGGTTCATCAAGATGATTCTTTACAAAATCTAACGATATTGTGTGTTCTAATTCAGCAAAAAGTCATTTTATAAATAATATTTTTAGCTTAAAATCTTCATAGAAATGACTTTTTGCTGATTATTGAATATTGGCACGATAAAGTAGATTTCTGACAACAATATCATGTTCATCATGGAAATTTGGGACATACTATTGATGTTTGAAGTTCATTGTGCCAGTTTTAAGTTAGTTATAGCAGGTTATCACAACACTGCTTACAAAGCACAAATTTTATGTGATTTACCATTGGTATATGCCTAGAAAAAGAAGTCATTTTAAGCTGAATAATGGCACACAGTGCAACAAAATTGTGCCACATTAAACAAAAAAGGCACACCGCTCCCTCAAACAATATTCTGAACTAAAAGGAGTGCCATTTAGCAGTAAGAATGACTATTTCTGTCAAATAAGTCACTTTTTACTGATTTTCAGGACACATTTGTTGTTTAAATTTTCAGGATATACCTAAACTAAGATTCGTATCTGCAAGATAAACAATTTGGTGGTTTGAGATGATTAATAATGCTGATATTGACTTACAATAGTTGGTAATTCCCACGCTGGCTGCAGCAGTCACTACAGCTGATTAGTGGCACTCTAATATTATTATCTGTTTTTGACCCCTTTATGAACGCATTACTTTTCGAAATAGATGCTTAAACTAACATTTGTACACCCATGGATCAAGAAATAGACAATTTTTGTCTTTTTACATCATTTATCTATATGACTGATATGCTGAATTTGGGCACTCGGGACATAATTGAGTGTAAGCAGTACAGAGTTCAAGCCGTCTTTTAACTGATTAATGGCACCTTCAATCTAAAAGTCAATAAGGTGACTGAAAAAGAGAACTGAAATTTCGATACTTATTTCATCAATTAAAAAAAGATAAATTTCAAGCTGATACATGTGTGACTTTTTGCTGATGGCTCGCACATAGACATGTAAGAATAAGTTTAAAGACACAACCAAACATTATCTTATCCAGAAAATAGCACAGTCACGCCTTGATCTTTTTAATATTTTGACAAGAACCATCAATAGAGTAGTCGTATTCAGATATAAAAATGACTTTTTGCTGGATTCTGTCACTTACTGGAATTGCTAATAATGACTAAAATGCTGAAAACAGTTACTCGCTCCAATCTACTAGTGTTATGTGAACAATATTTGAGCAAAATATGGCAAAATCAATGGAATTAGTCAATTGGAGGTTAAAATGGTTTGCTGATTTTTGGCACTCAGTTTAATTGCTCATAAGTCATATTCTGCTTGAGCCTGGCACTTCGTTTTTTCAAATCACAACTGCTGAATATTTTCACTTCATCCTATGTACAAATGTATGGTTGCACTTTAAAAAGCATTGCGACTTTTTCCTCATTTTGTGCACTCTACTTTGAAAAAGGTGAAATCAGCAACTCACCACACTTAAAAAAAACGTGTCCATAAATAATAGGCTATATGAATATAACATAATATTATAATGCTTCAATAAACATTATAATATCGTTTATGCTTGACCGATGGCTTGATAACACAACTTATTTTTGCCAATGTGATTGCTCTGCTAACCTATATTATGTTTAGCGCCGGTAGGCTGTTACGCTTATCATTCTATCACAGTACACTTCAATTCTTTCGATGTATTGGTCTTATTATCAATGCCATTAAGAACTTAATAATATTGAAGTTACACACTGACTCTACGGTGATGAACGTTAAACATCGAGCCTTCAAGACACGAATTTACCAGTTTTAGCACAGAAACCCGCTTATAATAAAAGCCCACATAAGATGAAGATCCGTTTGTCGTATTATAGAGGTCAAACTATTGAAGTTTGTCTGAACCAAAACGTCGTCTATCTGAATATCATAGCGAAACATCTTACATCACACGCTTCCTCTGAATAAAAGGTTGAATAAATATAAAAAATTAAGCGCTATAAAGATAATGTTATAACAACGAAACTTAGTAAAACTCACATCAAAGGTAAAAGGAAAAGCCCGCTCGGATCCTAGCTTTTTGAGGAGTTTCCCTTGTATTTTAGTGGTACACGAGGCAACTCCTTTCACTGGGTATACTTGCATTGCGTCCTGAAAAATATAGAGATGTTAACATAAAATAAAGATCAAGTAATTATACCATTCCGGAAGGAGCACACTGTGCAGGTTTATGTGTATAATAGTGATATTATATTTATTATGATAGTTGATAATTATTTATTATATAGCACGCAGTAATATAGCAGTGATAATGTAATATAACAATAGCACAAGTGTGTTGTTGTGTACTTTAACAAGTAGTGGCTGACGCAGGAGTGTTTACTAATTAAATTAGTACCCATACTTTTCGCGTTATTAAAACTTCTATTTTATTTAACTACTAAATTCATGCTGAAGATCCAAATGTTATAATTGGTGATTATAAGCCTAAACACTAAACAGTCTTGAGCTTGTATCTCACATTATATACATATTATATAAATTATATGCAAGGAGAAGCCACTGTGTAACTACTTTGTTGTGCTAGATGATTTGTAAATTATTCACTTATTAGATGTACATAATTGTGATTGAACGATGATTCGACCATGGTCATACATTGTTAAAGTAGGTCTTGTGTAATGATTCGACCCTGGTCATACATTGTTAAAGTACGTCTTGTGTAATGATTCGACCCTGGTCATACATTGTTAAAGTACGTATTGTGTAATGATTCGACCCTGGTCATACATTGTTAAAGTACGTCTTGTGTAATGAAGGAGATTGTCGAATTCCAAATATAAGTGACATAACGGCGGAGTTAGATAGACCACGGTCTGATGAAAATAGATCATTGAATCCACATCACAGCTCTGTGGTGTATAGTCTACAGTTAACTGTTTAGTGTAGACTACAGTGTAGTCTACACCACACCACTCCCAATTATACAGCAAGTATGTACAAGAAAGACCCAAGTAACAATGACTGTGTGTACACCATGGCCTAGGTCCGTTTATTCACATTTACAGACGACTGACGAGGGCTGTGCAGTAAATATAAGGGTGGGTTGTTAGCTCGCCCCACTGCCTCACTCTCCCTGGCCTGTTTCTCCTTAATTTCTCCTTAATTTCTTCTTATTTTCTCCAAATTAATATGGGGCTGTAGATAACCAGCTTATAAATCTTTTAAATTTAACTATTCAATATTCGTCATCTTATCTTACATTTCAATTAAATTATGTGGTATTTAGCGAGGTAATCGGGTGATTGATATTTGTAACGTCAAAATATTAAGAGCACACGAGGGTCAAAGTAAATATTGCTACTTGGGTGGGTGAGATTGGATTTATATTAAGGACCAGTAAGTGTCGTAATTTGGAGCATTTTACAGAAGTCACATTTGAAGTTAAGGTTCGATTCTGTAAGCTCTTTGAATAACTCCGACTCAAGCAATGGGTCCACATTTTCTGAACACTTCCAAGTACCAAGACGTGTCCGCAGTTAAAATCTGTAAAACGTTGACGGGGAAAATTGCACGTTTTTGCACAACTTTCTTCATGCAATATACGTGTAACTGAGTCTTAAATAAAGAATAAAAAAGGAATATTTTAAAAAGGTTGCTGTTGAATGACAGATTCCATCAGCTTTTGGAACTGTTGATTGTTTATTATTCTCGAGTGCAAACGTGGACAATGGAGTGGTGGTACCAAATGGGGGGGATGCAACGTCAATTAATGTCAATTAATGTCAATTAATGTCAATTAATGTCAATTAATGTCAATTAATGTCAATTAATGTCAATTAATGTCAATGTCAGTTTTGCAAAATTTTGGAATACTGACATTAATTGACACGATATTTTTCGACCAGAGATTATGTAGTTCTACCATATTTTTAGCACTTTAGAACGTTTATATCATCAATTTATTCACTACTATCACATATGGAAATGTGAAATGTGAAAAAAATTCAGATCACTAAACAATAAACCTAAAATAATACGGTTTTCCAAAATTTAATTTTCTTAAATGGGCGTGGCCATCCAAGGGCGTGGTTCTCAACATCATCAGAACATAAAACCCACATTAAACGAAACACCTTCATGACATTTATATTTGAATAACGAATCTTAAACAGCTAACATTACTCCTTCATACTAAAAAAGCCGATTCTAGATATTTTACCTGTATAAGAAACCAATAAAATATGGGCGTGGCCGGCGCGGTGGGGACCGAAGATGGAAGAGTTGGAAGCTGAAATTTTTTTGGTGGTCTTTGAACCTAAGGATCAACAGATAAGAACATACTCATAATTATGCAAGGACATTTTGTTTTTTTGAACCGGTCTAACTTACATAGGTCATAGACGTGAATATCTTGAATATTTATCGAATAATGATAATCTCAAATTTCAAGACAAATTAATGTCAATTAATGTCAAATAATGTCAAATAATGTCAATTAATGTCAATTAATGTCAATTAATGTCAATGTCAGTTTGGGGTTTTTATGGAATACTGACATTAATTGACGTTGCATCCCCCCCTACCAAATATTCTGCAATGCCGGCTAGATCCTACAAGAATGTTCTAGGCCCATAATGTGATAATGGAAATATTTTAATAAATGTAAAGATATTGGTCCAGTAAACGGAGCTGGCTAAACATCCTTGGTATTTGTTGCAAATAGTTTACCTGGTAGCGTTAAACAACATGATCTCACATAACCTGTTATAATTCATACAATGAATTAAATGATAGAAATATGTTTCTTTGTTATATTAATGACTTCAATTATCTAAGAAATGTGGTTTTTGATAAGGCACACTGGTGATCGTAACGTTATATTCTCATCGAGAAAGATGAAATAAGGGTGTTGTGTTTTATAGACCATGTTTGTTGTTTGGGGACCGGTTTTTGGTACACCGGCCAATGTTTACAAAATCATATGATACATAACAATATAATTCTGTTACTTATCATAAAATGACCAACCAGACCAAGAAGCAACTGCGGCAGTATCCAAGTAGCCCGACATGTGTTCCCAATCAGGTGTGTTAGGGTTATGGTTAGGGTTAACCCTACCCCTAACCCTGTTCGAAACACCTGTTCGGGAACACATGTCGGGCTACTTGGATACTGCCGCAACTACCCCATAAAGTTGCAAACAATAGCTTGAGTAACATAATTCTCTCTTAGAATATAGATATTAATATTGAACAGAGGGACTATTTCAACAAAATCATCTGCTTTTTTGGACCTAACAAAGGAATTTCTGAGTATAGGTCATAGGAAAATCTGAGATTAGCTGGGGCCGGGGGGGGGGGGGGTCCAGCGCCAAGAGTCGTCGCTTAATCCATTATTTAACGTTTAGGGTAACATTAGTCCATTTAAAGTACTCGTATAAACGTTTCAAATGTGCAACAAAATGTTGATAATTTTATAAATGTCCACCAAAAATCATTTCTCCGAAAATTGGATCGACGATAATATTACATGTTATAATGTATAATATCATAATATATATAAATATGTCACCTAAGGAGTAAGGAAAGTGTTATAGTGTTTTAAAATATGCGTTATATAAATACCTACTCAAAATATTTTCAATCCTACAACCACATTCCTTTAAAAAAACTTCCAACAATTCAACACATCCACAGTCCACACTCTGTCGATTAACCTGATTTTATGCTACTTTGATGTTGAAACCTAAGGGGGTATACCAAATGGCATGATGTTGTTACGAGTCAATCGTTTCAAAAACGAGTAATGTTTTACATATTATACAGGTATTCAAGGAAATTGAGTTCTTTCCTCTTTGAAAGACACTATTTCACCCTGAATATTGCCAATTACGGTCACGTCAGTTTTATTCTAGCTAGAAGTTGACAGCCGAATAATCTGGATTACGTTATATTGAGTAAACATTGTCTGGGATTTTACTGCCAGTCTCAAACCAATCAGTCAATCGGATATAATATAACTTGGGTGACTTAATTCTAGATCCCGGAAAGGTAAGCTAAAAGTTTACACATCAACTCAGGGCAGCAGGGTATTTGTGTTTGAGACACGTCTCCAGTCTCGTATTGGGAAATTATTCAACTCCGACCTCCAGCTCTGTAGTTCCACACAGTACCTGGGTGTTTAAAGGCGGCAGTGTATTTCAAGGGTTAAAGCCTCTTAGCACCCTCCAACACCAATAACCCGGAAAAATTAGGCTCTCTTTATTCCACTTAACACCTTTGATTAAGTACCTCCAAACACGCTGTCACATACATTTTGTCAGAAAATGCGGGAGCTTTTCATTATGTTTGAACTTTGACTTGAATTTTTGCGAAGTCACACCGTGGGGATTGTAGAAGGAGACATCGTCAGATCCAACCTCAATTAAATATGGAAACTTAAACCATATTATATATGATCAAAGTAAATGCAGCAGACATGACACGACAACTTGATTAATTGAATGATCGGTTCCGGTTCCGTTATTTAAACTGTTTTATTGGATTATTTATCAAGTTGAAGCTAAAGGTTCAAAACGAGACAACTTGATTTGACAAGGCATCAATTAAATTTAAAGTATTTTAATATATTTCATAATATTATGGTCAACTGCTTAACTGGATGGTCAATATGGTATCCAGTTCCAAAACTGGCATGAATTCTGAATAATAATTCTCAATGATTAATCGTGCCCGAGAATAATATTTTAGACTAGACTTCACTCCAAACCCCAAAATGGGAGATTCCTGATGAATATCAGGCTTTCTTTATCGTTTATCGAAAGCTAATTCTAAAGAAATTACGAGGATAATATACTTATAAGTATGTATACTTATCTAAGAACGTATGTAAACATACGTTCTATTCGAAGTTATTTTAATTTTTAAATGTAATTCATCCAAATTATATGTAACATATCCAATATTATATTACCATCCATCTAACTAAAATAATTTCCAGAAACCCTGGAGTTCAAGTTGTAATTCGTCAGAAACTTTTGAAATTTCCTCAGAGACCGGACAGTAAACCAGAAAGAGTAGAGTTACCTAACTAGTTAATAACTTTGATAAGTTTCAAGGTAAGTTCATATAATCACCTGTAACATAGCA